CTAGTTTGAGCATGGTTGGTGTGGCTGGTCTCGTTGAGCTGCTTAGTCTGGTCAAAGCTTGGCCGGTCTGGATGGCAGGCTGGTCTGGTTCATGGTCTGGCTGACTCGTCTGGCCCGCTGTCTGGTTGGTTTGGTTGCTCTACTTGGCTGGTTTGACTCGCTGGTCTTGCTGGTCTGTCAGATCAGGGTGGTATGCATCGCAGTTGCTTTGCATTGCAGGTTTTGTTGCAATGCAGTGCTGGTCCGGTTGGTGTGGTTGGTTTCGTTGGCCTGCTCAGTCTGGTCTGGGCGTGGCTGGTCTGGATGGCTGGCTGGTCTGGCTGGTCTGATCTGACTGACTCGCCTGGCGGGCTGGTCTGAGGGGCATCAGTAGCCATTGAAGTTCTCGTGTCCCACAGCATGCTGAAGCGCTGAAGCACAAGAACTATCCGCTTCCAGCGGCTTATCAGATTGAACTTCAACCAGATCTCGCAAGCCTTCCGCTGGCGGGCGGAACCACCCTCGCTTCACCCCCACCGGTCTTCCGCCGCCTTCCACCGTGGATGATGTGTCAAGCGACCGGCCCCTTCAAGGCGAGACCAAATCTGGAACGCCCTACACGGCGGCGCTCTAATCCATCTCACACGTCGTAGACATCAGCAGCGCTGTGGACACCTGCGTTACCCCCGCAATTTCACCTCCTCCTCATCCCCCGCTTCTTTTTCCACATTCTCGCCGTCGTGTTCCTCTTCCTCTTCCTGTCCCTCCTCCTCCTCCTTCTCCTCCTCCTCGTCATCATCACCAGCATCATCATCATGATCATGATCATGATCATCATCATCATCATCATCATCATCATCATCATCATCATCATCATCATCATCACCATGAGCATCACCATCACCAGCGTCACCACCATCATCATCACCATCATCATCAGCAGCAACATCATCAATAACAGCACAACTGCCATCACCATCATGGTCATCCTCACCATCATCGCCATCCTTCAGTCCCTCCAGGCCTGTAGTGCCTGGGACACGTCGCTCCTGTCTCATTCGCAGATGTTGTGGCAGGCGGCGGGGTGCAGCAACACTCGCCACAGTGCACTGGGAGGTCCATGCTGGCGCTGCACACCAGCGCGGTCGGCTCCCCGCCTGCGCCCACAAAGACGCTCATTGTCCTTCGACACCCACGCGAGTATGATTCATCATCATTCTGCATGTGGCCTGGCTTTCTGGCAACGGCGGCGCAGCGGCTCACGTTCACGTTCACGTCCACCTTTAATTTCCCCTCGAGATCCGGGGGTTTCTCGTGCGCTGGCGTCATCGGCGCCAGGCAGTCCATGGGTTCGGCCTGTACATATGGTGTCAATACGTCATCTTCCCCATCGGCGTGTATGTTGTTGTCAACTTCGACCCCACTCGTGGCGGCACCTATTTGCGGCACTGCGCGGCCCACTTCAGACGGCGGCTCCCACACAAGCGGCTCACACGGTGGCAATTCCCCCTCAGGCGGCTCCCACGGGGCGCCTCCCACGGCTGCGGCTCCGACGGCTGCTCCCGAGACGGTGTTTCCCACGGGGCCGATAGTGCAAGGGACAGGTCGTTCCTGTCTCACTCGCAGGTGCTGCGGCACGCGGCGCAGCAACACTCGCCGCAGTGCATTGTGAGCTCCCTGCTTGTGCTGCACACCAGCGTGGTCGGCTTCCCGCCTGTGCCCACGTATGTGAACAGTGACTGTCCTTCGACACCCACGCGACAGTAACTCATCATCAGTATTATCGTCATCATCATCATCATCCTCATCATCATCATCATCATCATCATCATCATCACCATCACCATCACCATCACCATCACCATGACCATCACCATCACCATCATCATCATCATCATCATCATCATCATCATCATCACCAGAAGCATCATCAGCATCAGCATCACCATCAGCATCACCATCATCGTCATCAGCATCATAATCATCACCACCACCATCATCGTCATCAGCATCATCCTCATCATCCTCATCATCATCGTCGTCATCATCAGCAGCATCAGCATCGTCACCACCATCATCATCACCAGCAGCATCGTCATCCTCATCATCACGATCATCGCCATCATCAGCATCATCGTAATAAGCATCAGCACCAACAGCAGCATCTCATGAGCAGCATCATCAGCAGCAGCATCGGCATCATCATCAGCATCAGCATCAGCATCATCATCATCATCATCATCATCATCATCGTCATCAGCATCAGCAGCATCGTCATCATCATCGTCATCGTCATCACCACCACCACCGTCATCATCATCATCATCCTCATCCTCATCCTCATCCTCATCCTCATCATCAACATCATCATCATCGTCATCATCAACATCATCACCATCACCATCACCATCACCATCACCATCACCATCACCATCATCATCATCATCATCATCATCATCATCATCATCATCATCATCATCATCATCATCCTCTTGCGCGTCCTTCCCATCCATGATCCTCCACCTCCTCCTCCTCATCCTCTTCCTCCTGCTCCTCCTCCTCCTCCTGCTCCTCCTCCTCCTCGCCATCCTGATCTGCCTCCTCGTCCCCCTTGCCCTCGCCCCTCTCCCCCTCGCCCTCACGCCACAGAGTCAGGGGCTGGGGCGCGCGGAGGCGAAAGGCCACGCCAGGTGGGCGCAGCGCGCGAGGGCGAGGCGGACTGGCAAGGAGAAGGAACAACCAGGGAGAAGCAGAGAGCAAGAAAAACCATCCTCCCAATAACTACGCACCCCGCCAGGCGAAGCCGTTCAGTAAACGCACACAAAGAAGCAATCAAATAGGGCAGGGATATTCAGAATACGCCCAGGGCCGTTTAGTAAACCCCGGCCCTGGAGGTCGGGCTGGTTCTTCCTCCCGCGAACGGCACCGCGTATGGCTGGACTCACATGTGGAACATCCGGAGGCCACGGGCCGGCTGATGCACCTGCGGAAGCACGGCTCACACGGCCGTAGAATGGCCGAGCGCTGGAGAGACGTCCAGCCGCATGGGCTCTCGCCCGGGCCAGCCGCGTCCTGTGCATCCAGCCTCCCCGATAGGAGGGCAGAACCCCAGATCGCCAGCGTCACCAAAAAATCGTGACGGTCGGGTCATCGACGCCTCTCGCAAGACAAAGCTTGACGAGGAGAACCTCGGGTGAGGATCACTCGAGGAAAATGGCTCGGGCGCCGCGGCCTTCTCAGAGCGTTCTGGAACGCTCTGAGAGCGTTCCAGGACGCTCTGAAACGGATGTATCCTCGTCCTAGCCCCGTTCGATCTTAAGTATCTACATCCGACCCAAGCAAACGTTCCCTTGGGAACGCGCAAAGCCTCGACGACCCCGAGACTATGCGAGAATGGCCCCATGATCACAAGATGGTTCCTGCATGGCCTCACGAAAATCCGAAGATACCCTGCGGACGACCGCCAGATGATCCTATGATCCCTGCGTGGTCCAGACGCGGACTCTGGATGGCGTCAAGGCCACACCAAGATGGCCCAAACTATGATCAACCGGTGACCCCGTAATGACACGATGGCCACAGGATGTCCCCCGAGTGCCCCAAGGTGCCGCCAAAATGACCCAGGAACAACACCATGATCCTAAAATGATCTGGAGATGATCTTTAAGTGGCCGCAATGCGGCGCCAAGACGATCTCCTGAGGATGGGATTTACAAACGCCCCGTTGTCACATCTTTTCCTGGCGACGAGATTCAATCATGGCTGGTCGCACTTGAAATATACGATGCACTTGTGTGGAGCGAGACCCCGCCCAGACCACGCAAGACGGCAATCTTTAACGCTCGGCGTGGATACGGACAAAACAAATACGATGGCCAGGTGCAAATGTTGTCCTGAACCAACAACGGCCACTGTTGGGCGGGCGGGCTTCTGTCTCAGGTGGGCAACGTCCGCCCGCGGCGACGCCGACAGCGGGTCCTGTTCGGAACGGACAGGAACTGCTAGATCTTCGTGTCCGTACCCGTGTCGGTCGTGCGGAGTCCCGCAAAAAGGCCTCCGGGGAAGCACACCGCGGGGCTCCACGCCGCCCCACCTCCAGAGAGCTCCAGAGAGCCCCCGCGCGCGGGCCCCCGGCGGCAGCACGGGGGCCTCCGGAGGCGCGGACAGGGGCTGGGAAAGCGCTCGGGGGCCTGGATCCTCGGACCTCCACCCCCAGAGGTCCGACGAGTGCTTTCCCTTGTCTTCGGCCATGTCGGGGGGCGGCTTCGGGGCCCAGGGACCATCAGAACGAATACGGGGCGAAAGACTGCTCCAAGAGAGGCGGTCGGGACTCCTGGGTGCGCGGATTGAAAACAACATAGCGTCGGCTATCACGGACCCCTTCCCCTCCCCCCCCTCACGGGCGGCGAAGACATCCTTGTCCGTGCCCTCGCGGTCCGAGTTCCGGGGCGCGATCCCGCGGATACGCAACCGCACGGGTACACGGCCGCACGAATACGGTCTGCGCGGGGGGCGTCCGCGAAGAAACGCCCCGCGGCACAGGGGCCCGGCCCGCCGGGCAGCAGATACGGAGATGTCTTTCGCCCACGAGGGTGCGCAGCCAACCAGGCTCGAACTGATCCCTGGCCCTCAAATTGACGAGCTAAGAGGCAATGACAATCTCAGGGATGCGCCCTTAGAAACCGAGGGAATCCTTACGATTGGCATCGAGGTGAGGCGATACCGCTGTTGTCGCAAAAAACGCCCATCCACAGACGTTGCTTCGACGGTGCCGCACCCAGACCCCCCATTTCAATGTTGCGTTCGCGGCCGTCGTCGGGGTGCAAGCATCGGCATAAAAAACTAGCAAAACTCCATCGGCAAGGCAATCCCGTTTTCTACGTTGGAATGGGGGGGCCACGGGGGTTCTGAACACAGCAGCGCCGCCCGTTATGCCTGGTGGGCGTGTTTTGCGTCAACGGCGGTATGTTCCAGGCTGGTGAGCAGCTCTCCCCCACCCCTTGGAGCAGGCGAGGGCCGGCCTGGCCCGGCCAAGCCCCGCGCACCGCCCACGGCTGCACGGGCGCGACGGGGCAGACCTCCTTCGTGCGCCGCCTCCCCGCCGAGGTGGGGCCACAGTATCAACAGAGGCAAGAGAAAAAAAAACAGCATAAGCAGAGACGTTCGACGTTCCGCGCGGACTTTTTGCATCAGGCCGGGGGTGGGCGGCACGACCAATGGAAGAGCGAGCCCCGCTGCAGGCGTTGCGGTGTGCAGTCGGGAGACGGAGGGCTCATGCGTGCGGAGGTGCACGTGCGCAAAGGGACACACAGCCACCATGGCGCCGAACGGCGCCACACAATGCACCACGCGACATCATCGCAAAGGGCAATACACTCCACTGGGCCTCACCACGCCGTCGTGCTTTAAGTAAACTGCAGTACGTCGAGTCACATCGCGTCATGGTATGACACTTGTACGTTGCGTCGCCATGCATTCAGATGCAAACCGTGACATCATTGATACCATCGTTGGCCAATCCACCGACCCCCGTCTGCGGGGGTGCAATGGCGTGTGATATGTTAGTATGTCCCCCTTTCCCGCCCCATGGGGGTCCCAAATACCGTGAGGCCAAGCTCCTCAAAGCACCTCTGGGGCCCTGTGGGCCTTCCAAACCACCACCCGTGGCCTCCAAAATGCCAGAGATGCCTTCCCAAACGGCTCACGGAAGGCTACCACACGCCAGATCGGCCTCAAGAACACCCTCGATGGCTTCAAGACGGCTCAAAAGCTCCAAACACAGCCGAAGAGGACCCCAAGTCCCGATCAAATAGAAAATGGAAAATGGGAAGTTGGAAAGGAATTGAATTTTTTGTTTAATATGTTTTCTTATTCTTGACTTCTTCTCTCCGAAAGAACATGATTTTTTACTAGAAAGAAGAAAGAACAATAAGAAAAACAAATTAAACAATTATTATAATTCCTGCCCAATATTTCCTTTATTAATCTTTGATTATAGAAACCAAAGGAGGCCTCCAGGGGGCAAAACAAAATTAGTTGCTTGATTGTCCACGTATATATGTATGTAGAAATATGCTCGTGTGTATATATACACATACACATACATATACACATACATATACATATACATCATCACATACAGATGCATATACATATACATGTATATATATACCTATACAACTACATATACATAAACAGAAGTTACCCCAGTGCGACCCGACCTAGGAGTTGGAGCCCCTAGGGAAGCAGCATAAGCTAAGCTAAGATTAGCTAATATGAGATAAGCTAAGCTAGGCTAAGCTAAGAAAAGCTAAGCTCAGCTAAGCTAAGCTAAGCGAAGTTAAGCTAGGCTAGGCTAAGCTAAGCTAGGCTAAGCTAAGCTAAGCTAAGCGAAGGTAAACTAGGCTAGGCTAGGCTATGTTAAGGTAAGCTAAGCTACGGCAAGCAAAGCTAAGCGAAGCTAAGATGAGATAAGCGAAGCTAAGCTAGGCTACGCTAAGCTAAGCTAAGCTAAGCTCAGCTCAGCTCAGCTAATCTAAGCTAGGCTAGGTTAAGCTAAGCTAGGCTAGGCTAAGCTAAGCTAAGCTAAGGTAAGCTAAGGTAAGGTAAGCTATGCGATGCTAAGCTAAGCTAAGCTAAGCTAAGCTATGCTAGGCTAAGCTAAGCTAAGCTAAGCTAAGCTAAGCTAAGCTAAGCTAAGCTATGATGAGATGAGCTAAGCTAAGCTAAGCTAGGCTAAGCTAAACTAAGCTAAGCTCAGCTAAGCTAAGCTAAGCTAAGCTAACCTGAGCTAAGCTAACCCTCTCGGCAGAGCCTAGGTGAGGAACCCTGGTTGCCGGGGGAACCGCGGGGCGGATCCTGGGGGAACCGCCCGGGGCGACCAACACTGCCCGGCCCTTTAAGCACAGCCATTAAGAACCCTTCTAGGCAGAGCCTAGGTAGGGAACGTATACATATACATATACATTATCCCCGTGCGACCCTACCTAGGAGTTGGAGCATTTAGAAGAGCAACATCTACATCTACACTGACAGCTACATTTACATCTACACCTGCATCTACATCTACATCAACATCAACAGCGAGACTTACATCTACATCTACATCTACACCTACATCTACACCTACATCTACATCTACATCTACACTTTCACCTACATCCATGCTTTGCTAAATCTGCATGCTATGCTATGCTATGCTATGCTATGCTGTGATATGATATGATATGCTGCGCTGTGCTATGCTAAGCAATGCTATGCCATGATATGCTATGATATGCTGCACTATGCTGTACTATGCTATGCTATACTATGCTATGCTATGCTATGCCGTGCTATGCTGTGCCATGCTATGCTATGATATGCTTGGCTATGATGTGCTATGATATGCTGTGCTAATGCAGCGTTGCGCTATGCTGCGCTGCGCTAGGCTAAGCGAAGGTAAGCTAAACTATGCTAAGCTAAGCTACGCTAGGCTAAGCTAAGCTAAGCTAGGCTAGGCTAGGCTAAGCAAAGCTACGC